TGTCCAACGAACGATCTCACAACGAGCGATAAGCGACCTTCGTGCGAGCGTGAAAGAACAAAGCGCTAATGTTAAAGTAGAAGGAAAGAAATAATTTTTGTATTTTTTACCCACTGAAGATGGCTCAATGCGGAGCCGAAACGTTTGGGTGACAATGATTATTGTTTAAATATATGTAATTTTAGCACTAATTGCGTGCAAGGCTCACTTGCCCTTCTTTGGATACTTCTTAATTTGTTACTGATTCATTCTCTGATATTAAATATTCAAGTTAAGATATTATCTGGAAGCTAGTAAAAGTAATTTATCATCTGTTTATACATGATAAGTGATCCTCAAAGAATCTTTTTAGTCTATAACGTTTCCGCAATGAAATCATCCATTAATCATCTCCAAGAAAAAATCAATTTGTAACTTATCCGACAGTCGATTATAATTATTAAGAACTGATCAATGAACTGGAGTGACGAATAAAATGGAACACCCTGTATATCCCTGTATATCCTAATCTTCAGATTAACACAACCGTTATCATTCTGCAGTTTGGACATAGAGAAGCACGAGTGTTCTGTATTAGAACGCGCAGTAATTTTTCGTTTTACTTCCAAGCAATAAAACAACATTGGTTGTGTGTTCCAACTCCGAAATATTTATAACGCTAGTTCATCGTAAACGCATCCGCAAACCGGATGTGTATAGTAGAGGGTGGCACTTCTCTCAGGTTCTAAGTTCGATACGCTGTTAATGTAAAAGCTGTATCTTCTGTTATCGAAAAATACAATGTGCCGAAAGTTGTATAATCATATGATAGTTAATTTAACGATTTTTCTTGAAAGAGTCTCGCAGGAGGTGTCCTCTATAAACGTGCGCTGGGCGAAATGCGCCCACACATATATGCAACAGGAAATCGTTCGTTACACACAATTGGGATATTTTTTTTCTAGTCCCATTTCTTACATTCAGTGGCGGATTGGAACATCTCGAGGCTTCCAAAGACTTTGCCCTAAACAATAATGAATTCAGAAATCATTCAACATTCACATGTTATATAAAATCAATACATTATTTTAAAAGGCTACAGGAACAGTTTGAATATTTGATATTTAAATATCACGAGCGTGTTAATCTATCAATTGTATATCATTTCAATTATTTTATGTAAAACTGCAAAACATTTGCTGCATCTAACGAGTAATCCGCCACTGGATTTTAGTTTACTTCTACAGAGGCAGTACCGCATGTTTCTTTGAAATACTCTAGATAATCTGTATCTGCCGCGTACATCCGATACAGAAGACGCTTTGTGGAAGAGGAAAAGCAAATCTCACTCTCAGATGATAGCGAGGAACGCCATTCGCATTGACATACGACGATGTACAGTAACAATGGGTGTGTGCAAGAAGACTGGCACACTATCACGCACACAGATGTAACTATTAATTAGCAAACATTATTTCGTAATATCTCCCTAAGCGTGTAAACTAAATCTTATAGATATCTTTATCACTTCTCGTTTGCAAAGTTTACGGTACGGTGCTGAAACACAATATAGACCTTACCGAGCTCGTCTCGGTGGAATTGGCCGACCGGAAGATCACGCACATACATTGTTACAACGGTTCTGCTTATGTTACGCGAATAACAAACGGCAACAGAAAAACACATAAGAAGTGCGAACGACGAAACGAAGAAAAAAAATAAAGAATCAACAAAAAGCTCGTTTCCCAGACATACTTAATGTTTTATTTTCGTTACAGTGCACATTGACATCTTGATTTTTTTTTTCACATTAAGGCGAGGGTCATGAGTACTTCTTTTCCCTTCATTTGGCTTATCATTATCGTCACCTGCTGTCGGATGCACGTACTTCGCTCTTTCTCGCACACGATGCTATTTATTTCCGACCGCGGATCTCGAATCCGTCCGTTTCTCGAGCAACGTTCCCACTATCGCACGCACGCTTCGCGGATCATGGAAGCGGAAAGACCTCTATCTTTTGTGTATGTATGTGTATGCGGTGTGACATGACGATGTCGCGTGTGCAATCATGTGGTACCGTCGAAGCGACTCGATAAATCATCTAGGAGCGCAACTCTTTTTTTTTTCATTTTTTTTTCATTTAATATCACATGATTACGCCTAAACTAATTTACGCTCTAAGCAACGCTAATCGTACGCAACGTGTTACTATGTGTCGCATTGAGTGTACAAATTCGAATCTACTAATAAAGCCGGTAGTGCTGCACGTTGACTTGATACTTTGTTTGTGCTTCGTCGACATCATGGGACTGAGAGACAAATCCCGATAGATTAGGATCTCGCTAATTACGTGCTACATGCACGCGTAAACGGACTCTATGCTCACTCGTGACGAGTTTATGAGGCTTAGTAAGATCTACTTTTTAACGTCTACACCATGTCCATTTTCGCATCGCGTGGAAAATTAAACATTGGAACTGTGTCAGTTTCAAATTCTCAGTAAGTGCCACACTATACTCTGCCCAGTCGACGACTCTGATCACGCGCTTGCCACTTCTGTTCTTTCCTTTTATTTTTTTCTTTTATTTATTTTTTTTTTTTAGTGCGTCTTGTAACCAGTGCGCGAACACTTGGGTCTTATCCCAGAATATCTTGGATCGACTGTTCAGTCTTTCGAACGTTCTCCGATGTTACATCGGCAGAGAGGGATCGTGTGTCACGTGTGAGAAAGAGGTAAAGATAGATCAAAAGTTTTTTGCGTGTGTGTTTTTTTTTATTGTGCTTGCATGTTGTGTGTTGTTGTTGTTAAGTATAATATGCACTCTTGGTCGTCGTACGCGGCCCCCGCTGATCGGCAACCGACCGGCAGAGGGACGCCTTCGTTAAGATTACGAGAGCCGTAATCGCATGTAGAAACAATACAACGCGTGGTCATAGGAGTAGAAATTGTATCTAGAGTAATTATGGGGAGGAGGAGAGAAATATATATGGCGGTGTCGTCGTTAGGTCTATGTGGTACAAAATATGCGATTCGTTCAAAGTTGTTGCGTCGTGGGTCAGTGGCACGCGCCAAAGTGGGCCTTCTCAAATGGTTGCACAACTCAGCACGATGCTAGTAACTCAACGTGTTAGAAAAACTCGTCCGCGCGATTTCGCGCGATATCGGGACAGCTGATTAAAACGCACTTTTGCGCACCTTCTCTTTTCTTCTTTCTGCGCGATTGAGAATCGCTCGCCTTGCGCGCGTACAGGATTCTGTTCTCATTTTCCCTTTGCCAATTGACACGAGGCGCGCCGGATAGAGCTGGGCGAGTGCACACACGCTCGATAATAACTCGGCGACGCTCGCGCGATAGAGATTATATAAGCTCGGACAGTGTGTGTGATTGTGTTGTATACGGTCGTACAAAGACTAGGTCTAAAAGAGCATCGTAACGCGAGTAGAACGCGATGAATCCTCCGTCCGATGTGCTATCTAGAGTGATTGATCGTTTTGCATCAAGGGAATTCGTACGCTGGTAGAAAGATTCACGCTCAAAGTACTCGCGGTTTAACATTTGCGAGTATACTTGGCGGAGGGAGACAAAGAGAGCGAAGCAGGCACAGGCATGTGTGTTCGTTGTGGTCACTCGTGACTCAAAAGCACATTTACTAGATTACCGACGACAAGATTCGCGAATACGCTCTGACTCGAGTCAATCCGCAACATCATTGACTTCTCGTTTCCTCTCCTAATCGTAAGATCAGCTCGAGGTATCTTTTTCTTTAAAAACTACATTTATTTTTCTCAGATCATGGATCATTTATTCGGTTGCGCGAGAGCACGCTTCCCGTAATCTGTGTATCAATCCTCATGTGTATGCATGTAATATGTATATGCGTGTCGTGTAAGTTTGCCTTGGCTCAATAAACATCTGCATTATACATGATGAGCTACACAGTGTTCCGCAAAGAGTTCTCTCTACTTGTACCGTCAAAAATCAATCATTGCAACATGATCATAGTATATATATGTATATATATATGTATATATGTATATATTTACATTTACTATCTACATTATCTACACATCAACAAACTGTTAGTTTTAGCATCTTCATCGTATTGAATTTGTAAATTTTCTTTCAAACGTTATATCTCTCGCCTCGCATTTACCATCCACATCATTCACACTTTCATTCTTTCATCACCATCATCATCGCCGTTATTATAATCATCTGCATTTACATTATCATTATCATCATCATCATCATTGTCATCATTACCATAATTATCTTTATATCGGCGTTAGATGTGTAAACTCACGACTAGTTCGAAGTAACGATTATCATACAAAGTAATCATAATTCTTCGACTCTCGGTCAACTCACAATAACCGCAAATCAAATTAATGAGTGACGATCTCATTTAACAGAATATTAAAAAAAATAAAATAAATACGCCAACTTAAAAAAAAGACAGAGGAGTCGGGGAGCAATTAACGATAATCGGTAGCTATGCGATATGCAAGTAGGCATGTTATTATCACGCGCTATGATCGCATAACTTCGGGCCACGACAGTCTCTTTTTACCGTCCGCATCCCTTTCGAGGCTGCTTCTTGTCGGTTTCACCATTTTCAGGCAACGCCATCGTTATCTCTTCGTGCGGACATTGACGATTCATTCCTTTCTCCTCGGAGAATCATCCTGTCTAACACTGGGCGAGATTTTCCCAAATGGCAATCGAGTTAATCAGCGTCATCGACACGATTCAACTCCTCCGACAATGTCCTTAGAATCCATTAGTCTTCCTCTAATCTCTCCTGGGGAAGCGAAACCTTCGTAAGGCTTCGCGTTCAGGTTAAATTAGGCTGTGGTGACGACGAAGGAGTGGCCGGTTGGGGATATGAGGCCATGTCCTATATGAACGCCCAGCATTCCAATGTTTTAACGACGAAATCTTCGCGCGGCGCCAACGGCTCGTTGCCGTATGTGCTGCAGGCTTGTGTCCTGCCTTGATACAGATCACCGTCCAGCCAGAGCCCAAACTTGCCGCTAAAAACGAGAATACAATTCCGTCAAGTTCTCATCCAATAGCTTAAGAACAGTAGTATTTTTGAGAGAAATGAGAGGTAACTTACTCTCCAGCACCAATTGCTAAGCTCTCGTTGTTGCCCTTGATAAAGTACAAGTTGTCCCCGGTCCAATTGAAACATTGGAACCTCGGCGTAAACCTGAAGAGCAGGGACTCGCCGGTACCGTAAAAATGATCGCTCACGTGCAGGGAGCACGAAGTCAGCGCACCAAACACCTGTACAGAAAAAAGTGGCTCATGAAGGCTGCGACATGCACACACGATAAAACCGAGAAAAAGATTATTTGACGTTTGTGTTTCGTTTTTACTCCAAATAAACCATCCGAGTGGACGAGTTAGCAATAAACCAGTTTGCGCGGATGCAGGATATTCACGAAAGTAAGTCAACGCGCAAACACAACTTCGCGAAAATCCATGTTAATCTCTTGCTCAGACTAATTATGTTAATCGCAGAACTTTTTACTTCGGATTAATTAAGTCAGTTGACCTCGACATTTTACTAGACTAAATGCTTTCCACTTATAATTAGTTTTCTCTTTCTGATAGTATACACGCGCGAGAAATCATTGGCTCAACAATTTTCACACGATTTTGTATAAATATCTATTTATATTTCTATAAATATCTATCTATTATATTTTAAATACTGTATTTTTTTTTAACAATTGTTTTCTTGATATGTACCACATATAGAATGCTATATATAATCTGACGCTAACATAATACAACGCCAAGAAAAATGTTTGCAGTCACAAGCGTGATCGTGTTAATTCCAGGATTCATTTTTCGGAGTCGCATCATTGGATCAAAAACTAATCATCTCTTTCCATTTCTAGATCAAATTAAGGAACAGAAAAACTCACATTGCCCTCCGTGTCCTCGATAACTAACAGGATTGGACTCTCGACCTTCGCCATTTTTCGATACATGCTGTTCAGACTGAAGCCATGCTGGCTGGTGCTGAAGACGAGAGTCCACTGGTAACCCTCCGCTCTCGCGGGCAGATGTCGGCAGAGCTGTTCCCTGTGTTCATCGCTGAGTATTTCCGTAGTGCCAATGAGATCGGGCACGATGACGTCGTTATCCAGAGAAATGGCACTGTTCGCGTAAAGAGCTCGCCTGAACTCCTCGCTCATAGACAGCACCTGTGAAGACAATGCATCATTTACTAACGTATCCTCTGAACGTACTCTTTATGATACGTATATCGCGAAATTCTAATCGAGGAGGTAAGAAGTAATGTCATCTCTCGATTCCATGAAAAGATGATTGTGACACAAATGGATGTGAATAATGTTCTAAACGATGCTCTATTAGTATGTATAGACGGCACGATTGTCGATATTTGAGATACGTGTGGAACGAAATATTCTTCTAACGTTCATTAAACACAGAAACTATCTTGCAACATGCATCAATATGATGTCTACTCTGGATATGTCGAATAAAAAATGTTCAAGTATTCTAAAAGTCGAGCGGATCAGAGTCAGGCAAGATATTAAAATAATGATTAGTCATAATATTAAAACAAACGTAACATTGCCTTCTTAGCAAGTATAATTGATGACTATAATTGCAACTTATTATAGATACATAAAATTAATGTACATAATTTCATGAAATCTAATAGATAATAAGTTAACGAATTTAGAATTACCTTCAAACAAATATTTCAGTTCTATCCCACCTGACTCGAAATCCCGAATAGTTTCGAGGAATTTTTCATTTTTCTCGTGAAATTCGAACATGAAAATGTGCTGCTAATAATGAAATGATTTTGACGTCCTTTTGGCTTCTGACCTCCTCAGGTTTAACTAAATCTAAGCACATTTAGGGCACTACCACATCCAAGTGTCGTGTTGTACTCCGTTAATACAATCTCACGTAACCGCAGTGGGTGTTGCGTTTATTCAAGTCAATTGCCGGATAATTATTAACGTGGGAGGCCACCGTGAAATGTGTGCCGATATTAAATCACTTTTGTTCGTTACCCGCCATCACATGGAGTCGCTCAGCTTCGCGCCACGCATGATAATGCAACACGCGCGCGAGAGAATGCAAATGTCGCGCGGTGTACATCCCATACAGAGAGTCGCCGATGATGGAACCCAAACTATAGAAGCTACTATATAAACGGACGGCCTTAAAATAAAATCGTATCGGAGCGATTGGACACCATATCGATTGTATCGCGTTGAACCCGAAAGTCGGTGCATAAATGATGAGTTAGATACCGATGTCAAGTAGATATAGGAATTATAATAGATTTAAGTAGAATAATTAAGGCTTGAAACGAACGAGACAATGAATTAATAAGATCACAAATTTAAAAAGTACTTAATCGAATTTAAATAGCTACTATGAAATTATATTAAATAATGAATATTTTTTTGATAACAAATATTAAATCTAAATATAAAAAGAAAAATTATTTAAGAGTGAAACAAATATTAATATTTGCATGATTTTATTACTCTTCCATTTCATCCCAATATCCCATCTAATGTTACATCAAAATGTAATTACATTTACAACATTGTTTACACTCCTTTCACTTTATGAAATGTTTAACAGAGGAAAATTAAGGAAGATAATACAACAAAGCGATTAATCAAGTTTGAAAATGCAATAAAAATTATGATGCTGAATGTACACAGCCAAAAGTTTGGAAACACCAATAAAAACGAAGATATGTTTTTTTATCGTACATACGAAGTTATGTAATTATGTAACTATGTTCTTAATTTTATAAAAAAAATTATTGGATTTGAAGAATTATTGCTAAAAAAAAGTATATTGTTATAGATATTTGAACAAGTAATAAGTAATCCTAAAAATGTTAATTTTGAAAAGTATTTCCAAACTTTTGGTATGCATTTTATATTATTAATAATCACAAAATCATGAAAACATTATGTCCCGTTAAGTAGAAATACTGATCCGTGGGCAACGCTATGCATCGTTAATGTGCGACACGATGTGTTATCATGTGCTAAATTATTGGAGAGGTCCATCATCGATTGATTCAAATAATGAAGCAACGGCGTAAGATATTCCTGAGGGCGACAAGTTCGATAACAATTCTCACGTACGCCTGGCGACACGGGTTGTTACGACTTTACATTGTGTACCGTTCTTACTACCGAAATTGGCATAATTTGATAATTCTTAGTATTGATTGTGTCGCGCTACATGTGACAACAAAATGTACTTCTGACAGCTGTTGTAGATGTTGCTTAATTGAAGACGCGCGAATGAGGGAAATAAAATTAACATTAATGATTATATCATGTTTACAGTGCGGATGACACATAAAGCATACGTTGAATGGGAGACGCCTGGATGTATGTATTCTTTTACATTGGAACGAAAATCTATTACACTGTCTACAGATATACAATATTCATGAAAAAATTTTATTTTATTTCTCCCAACCGATACGTAGTTTCCAAAATTAATTTGAAATTTTTACTTTCTTTTTTTTTGCTGATGGGCTTCATCTTCTAATAGACTTCGAGATAAAACACGGGAAAAATTCATTATTACACATGTTACATATTTTATTTTAGCTAAGTATTGAATTTTCAAAGAATACCCGAATGACGTCAAAAGAACAACGAAGTTGGATCATAGGTTATCGCGGAAATATATAAATAAAGTCCCCACTTGTTCGTTGAGTTCGTTTTTGCGATGCAAGAGTAATAAATCACTAAATTAGTACAATGGATTTTATGTTATAAGCGTAACAAAAACGATGTAATGACATTTTGAATGGCATATTAAACATCGATTATCTTACCACGTGTGTTCTCATTATTTATATTATTTATGAGCTCACTACGGAAAAATTATGTTCCAAAAAGACGCCGTCTGTCTCTGCTGTGTTTTTAACATTATCAGTCATTATCAAGCAAACCTGTCTTCTTTGTATAAAAAGACACAAAAAATTCCGATAACCTTTGATCTCGCGATTGGAAAAATTTTAGCTTTCATACGAGTGTTTTGTTATGAATGGCAGCTGCCTTGACACCGTCAGATGATGTTATTCTAACATTTAAGATGTCTAACGAGAAGAAAGATCAACAAACCTAGAGGGGCTGAGCAAAGCTAAATCAATATTTTTTTCTTAAATTTAAATTTTTGTTTTAAAGTTATATTAGTTTATAAATATATATTATATAAATACACAAACATAATGATATGTTATAGCTAATATTAATATGATCGATATTACAGATTAGGGAATCTCATAAGGGACCCAATAAAAAAATAATAAAATAAATGTTTTTAAATAAGTTTTCTCTATGACAAACATCGAAAAATTAAAAAGAAATAAAATTTACTTTATTATTTTTTATTTATTTTATTATTTTATTATTTGTATTCATTTTAATTCCGGTCTAGTTATTGGGTGGAAAGTAATCCAAAGAGAGTCAAGATGCTTGGATAATTTATCGAAAAGTTAAAAAAAAAATTTATTTTATTATTTTATTATTTATATTTATTTCATTTCCGGTCTAATTTTTGGGTAGAAAGTGATCCAAAGGGAGTCAAGATGCTTGGATAATGTTCTCTATGCTGTAGCTATAGTTTGTAAGTAGCTGCAGTTTGTAAGAAGTAAATTTAAATATTCCCTTTAATTCCCTTTAATTAAATAGTCCCTTGTCAGAAGTAAATTTTTTTGCTTCTGATATATGTATTTTATTCACATCAAGATATTAAAATTTTCACTAAAATTTTTGGAAAACAGTAAATATCATTAATTAATAAAATTAAAAAATAAAAGTATGCAAATAGAGATAAGTTAATATATATCGCAAATTCTCCTCGGAAGGTGGTTTATAGAAAAAAAGATTCAGAGAAATTGATATCTTGGACCCCACATTATTTCTCCATGTTTCTACACGGGAAGAGAAGCCAAACGTTTATTTATACATAAAGATTGCATTATCGCGGTATGCAAGATTGTAACGAGCCTATCGTACTTTTGACATTCGTCTCTTACACGGACAGATATAAAAATGTTGTCACTGCCGGTCAATCAGTTCTTCACTGCGAAGTTTTTTCAAAGCTCATTATCACTATCGACCACTTCACTGGATGCATTGCGTTAATTTTAATTTGATAGCGACATGCTATTCCAGATGTTCCGCGCAAACAGCTCGTTAGCCAATGCAATTATCAGCTTTTTAATAAATTGACCGGGAGAACGATAGTGACTCGTTATAAAAAATTTCTTAACTATAACATTTATAGAGATAAAAAGTACCACGCGAAGATCTGTCGCCTATTTTGTAAAGATTAATTATTTTTCATATTTTAATATATTGATTTCTTCAGTATGTATCCAGAGATATTATATTCTAATAAAATCAACATCTTTATAACACAATTATTTTTATATCAATAGTTAAAAAAGTTATACAACAAAATATTTCGTTTTAAGAATAGATATTTAACATAAACGAAGAATAACCAAATCAATAAGTAAAATAAGATTTGCAAAATTAATTTTAAGGATTACATTAAAATAATCGATAAGTACCACATATACTACTGTTTATATTGATACTATTTAATCAATACCAAATTGAATCAATAATATATTTATTAATATGAACGTTTCATATGTACGAATATATTAATTGGAAGAAACAATTTCTGCTGTGGACAAGCGAGTTGCTTGAAAATAATAAATCTATAGATTCATTAAGTATTCATATTCTGTTTTTATATTAAAACCATCTTAAGTAATGTCTTAAAATGCTATGACTTCTAATTGATTTATGACGTCTTAAGACGGTCTCAAATATAAAAGTGGATTATGAATACCAGTCTATGTCTAATCAAATATATAACAAATATACAACTAACATAAATCGAAGTAATATTGAACAAATAAAAATATTTGACAATCATAATGATACACAGGAATCAATAAATATTAGATAAAGTCTGTGCAGTTTTTAATTTAGAAGACACTTTCAGAAATTGTTTTATATTGATAGTGCACAGGTTTTAATCTGCATTATGACGTACATATTAGTTTCAATCAATAGCTGATTTATTGCATAAATTTCTTAAAATGTTAAGTTTTGTTAAAAACTATACGACTGTTTGATTACCTGGTGTGTATGTATGTGTG